ATATATATATATATATATATTATTACGAATCAAGGGTTTGTGTACCATTCTGAGGTTCTGTCTGAATATTGAATCATCCAGCTGGATGAATTGGAGTGTAGCCTTTCATGGTGTCGCATGGAGATTTGCCTCAATAATTATAAAAAGTTAGAGTTAGATTGTTCCTATTTAAGAGTGTTTGCTAGGAGTTCTCTCTTACGTCCATTAACAGTCTAAGATATTTTTCTAATGGTTTCTTATTTTCTCCTTTTACAGTCCCGCCGTTCTTGTCATTTAATTTTACCTTCAAAGAAACATATAAAAACTGAGAGCTGTCGTCAGTCTGTTTAGGTTTTATTTGTACTGAGTTTCCTTTTGCCCGCTTCCTCTGGGACTCTTACACCAGCATCATATATATAATAACTTTTGATGCCAAATAAATTATTTACACTTGCCACTAAATACGGACACACACATTAGCAAAGTGTATGCCCCCTTATAGAAGAGAGGTGAATTAATTGCATACGTAAAACTCCTTAGGGGAGCCGACATGTCTCCCTAACAACTTGAAATGCACAACCTGTAGCTTACTTCTCTACAAAAACCCCTTGCTGCTGCTCTTGCTGCTACCCTTGCTGTTGCCCTTGCTGCTGTTGTTGCTGTTGCTGCTGCTCCTCTTGCTGTTGTTGCTGCTGTTGCAGCTGCTCCTCTTGCTGTTGATGTTGCTGTTGCTGCTCCTCCTCTTGCTGCTGTTGTTGCGGCTGCTGCTCATGATCTATGTCGCCTTCTAACCACTGGGAAACCAGCAGTTGGAACTTCTCTTGGTTTTCAGGAGCCACGAGAGGTGCTGCTTCAGCATTTGCCGCTGTTGTCGGTTCCGTTCCTCTGTCTGCACCATCAGCCTCCTGTATCTGCTGATACTCCTCCTGGTGTCGTCGCATTTCCTCTTCCTTTATTTGTGCCGCCAGAGCCCTCTTCTGCGCACTTATTCGAGGCCCCCGGGCCCTGAAGCATGCATACACGCAGCCGCCCATACACCCAAACCCTAAAGCCGAAGGGCGTCACGAACTGCATCTCACTAACATCGTATATTTCATGTAATCTGTTGGGGTGCAGCAGCACACCTCATATACACCCTATGCAGTAACAAGCTGGTGCAGCACTAGACAAAGCAAATGCACTAGTGACTAATCCAGGCACAACTACAGCAGCAGAAACGGCAGGCACAGAAACGGCAGGCGCAAAAGCCCGCGCAGCTGCAACAGTAGCAGAAGCTTTAGCACTAGCTGGAACAGAAGCACTTGCGGAAGCAACAGAAGGCACAGCAGCAGCAGTAGCAGGTGGTGGTAACGGTGAGTAGCTTTCCTTGGTGTTTTGGAGTGAAATGCCTGTGGAGGTGATTTTCGAATTTGCGCAGGGAATAGCGAGGGTCGTCTGAAGAGTTTTACACCTCTAGGCAACCAAATATCAAACGCCTTAACGCCGCTACCTGCCACACTAAACCAACCCAAACCCCCAATACTGATGTCGTCGTGGGCTGTATAACGGCCGCCGTATACCTCAACCCTGAGTTTCAAAGCACAGCAGCAGCAACAGCAACAGCAACAGCAACAGCAGGCCACAGCGTGACAACGAAGTCTGCAGCGCTTTCTGCCATTTGAATGTACTCATAGGTGCGCCAAAATTAAAACTGCAAAACCGTTGATCAGAGGAAGAGCAACGAACACGCATAAGACAAGAGACAAAGGTAAAACACAATCCCAGAAGAAAACAGCAGAGGTCAACAACGCAACACCCACCTGTAGGGGCACGAGAACGCTGGAGAAAATATTATATATTTTCTCCTATATATATATATATATAT